CCACCACCCCCCCCAGCTCGCCCACGCCATCCGTCTGCTCCTGGAGTACACGGAGACGCCCTACGAGGACAAGCTCTACAGCTGCGGAGAAGGTGAGGGGGGCCCGGGGGGGTCCCCGATCCGCCCTCAAGCTCTTTGGCTTTTTGGGGGGGACACGGCATCACCCAGCACCCCCCCCTCGCTCCCTCCTTCCAGCTCCAGACTACGACAAGAGCCAATGGATCAATGAGAAGGAGAAGCTGGGGCTGGACTTCCCCAACGTAGGTGGTCTCCAGCCTGGGGGTGCTTTCGGGGGGGGTGGGTGCTCCGGTGGGTGGCCCCATGCCTTGATGTCCCCTCCAGCTCCCCTACTTCATCGACGGCACCACCAAGCTGACGCAGAGCAACGCCATCCTGCGCTACATCGCCCGCAAGCACAACATGTGTGAGTGGTGGCCTTGGGCTTGGAGTAGGGTTGGGCTTGGAGTTGCCGTGGGCTTGGACTTGGAGTTGCCGTGGGCTTGGATTTGGAGTTGTCGTGGGCTTGGGCTTGGAGTAGGGTTGGGCTTGGAGTTGCCGTCAGCTTGGAGTTGCCGTGGGCTTGGAATAGGGTTGGGCTTGGAGTTGCCGTGGGCTTGGAATAGGGGTGGGCTTGGGGTTGCCATCCGCTGGAATAGGCTTGGGCTTGGAATAGGCTTGGGCTTGGAATAGGCTTGGGCTTGGAGTTGCCGTGGGCTTGGGCTTGGAGTTGCCGTGGGCTTGGGCTTGGAGTTGCCGTGGGCTTGGAATAGGGTTGGGCTTGGAGTTGCCGTGGGCTTGGAATAGGGTTGGGCTTGGAGTTGGAGTTGCCGTGGGCTTGGGCTTGGAGTTGGCTCAGGCTTGAATAGAGTTGGGCTTGGAGTAGGGTTGGGCTTGGAGTTGGCTCAGGCTTGAATAGAGTTGGGCTTGATGTTGGGGTTGGGTTGGAGTTGGGTTGGGTCAGGGGCCAGCCCCCCCCAGCGCTGACATCTCCCCATCCCGCAGGCGGTGAGACGGAGGAGGAGATCCTGCGCGTGGACATGCTGGAGAACCAGATCATGGATTTCCGCATGAGCCTGGTGATGGTCTGCTACAACCCCGACTTTGTGAGTGCCCTCGTGCTGCACGGTTGGGTGACCGCGTTGGGTGACTGTGCTAGGGTCCTCCCTGGCCATGCCCTGGGTTGCATCGGTGTCGGGGAGGTGCTGTCCCCTGGGGTGGGGGGACCCCTCACCCTTCTACCCCTTCCTCCTGCAGGAGAAGCTCAAGCCGGGCTACCTGGAGCAGCTCCCGGGGAAGCTGAAGCTCTTCTCCAACTTCTTGGGGGACAGAAAGTGGTTCGCGGGGGAGAAGGTACCACCAGGACCCCGGAGGGGTGTGATGGGGGGGCTGGGGAGGGGGTTTGTCCCCACACGTCCCGCCGCTGGTCTCCCCTGTGTCCCCCCCCCTGTCCCTAGCTCACCTTCGTGGACTTCCTCATGTTCGACGTGCTGGAGCAGAACCGCATCTTCGAGCCCAAGTGCCTGGAGCCCTTCAAGAACCTCAAGGACTTCATGGACCGCTTCGGGGTGAGCTGGGCCACCTTGGCCATCGCTCTGCCCTCCCCAGGGAAGGACCCCCAACCCCCTGAAGTGGGGGGTGCCTCGGTGGGCTGGGTCCCTGATGCTCCCCTTGCCCCTGCAGGCCCTGGAGAAGG